TCTGAATAAAAATGTCCTTGCCTGGTATAGGGTAACAGGGATGGGGCCTATCTTTCCTTGGCTGGGAATTCCATTCACCAAGAATGTCCTCTCTTGTGTCTTCCAAACTGTTCATCAGGATCTTAATACCTGGGAAGGGTCATATGGGGAGATATTGTCCTTTAGACAGCCTGGACTCAAATTGTCCAGGGCTTTATGGGTCATAACCAGCATTTTGGATTGTGCCCCAAAATGGACTGGTAGCAACTGAAGTTGCCAAAACAAGGAACCTCTGTTGCCTCTGTACTAGCTCCAGTCAATGGTCTGTATGCAGCCCTGTGTACCCATTGAAGGTTCTGAACACTTTTCAAAAGTAGTCCCCTATACAGAATGTGTAACAGTAATCCAAACAGAAGGTAACTATGGGCTTTATCACACCATGCTGTTGAAGTGGAATTACGGCAAGATAGTAGTATCTGTGTCTTCACCTTATCACATGATGCTGTGTCTGTCTTGCAGCTGCTTTGTCTTCCATCTGTTCCTATAGTGCTCCTTTTCATTGGTGTGAAAACCTCAGTGCCTCCCAATCACACTGCTTTCCCACTATTGATTCACGTGTGATAAGTTCCTTCTGCTACAGTTCCTATATGCAGGGAGTCATGTGGCGCAAGTGGGCATGATCATGCTCCTCTTCCCTTTCACTATTCCCAAACAGGCTGGTTTTCTTTCTCCTCCACCCAATTTCTTTTTTAAATGAATTATTGTGACTGCACAATTGATTTTTTTTTAAAAAAGATTGACTGAAAGACATGCTGGGAAGGGCATAGGGCAGGAAGGCATGAATCCTGGCATGCAGAAGACAAGAGTCTCTGGCCACACCATCGGACTTTTGAAGTGTGAAAATGACTGTCCTCAAACAGTGTTTTCTACACTAATGTAATTGTGGCATCTTAGCAGCTACACTTTGACCAGATCAGGTGATTTTAGCATTAAAGAAACAGACACTGAAGGGCAATGTCCATATGGTATACTGCAGGGTAGCAATTATAAACCCCTCCAGATGTTGTTGAGCTGCAACTCAGCATTCATCATTATGGTCTGTGCTTGGTGAGGGGTGCTGGGAGCTTCAGAGCAAGAACATCTGGAGGACAACACATTTCCTATCTCTGATCTATAGAATGATTGTGAGGCAGATACATTAGCTTCACATCATGAATATATTAGGATCAATTGTTGGGGAGCTAACACCGTTCATGAAATACCTTCAAAGTGATGTGTTTTGTAACTCAGAAAGAAAAGCTAATAAATCTATAAATACTAGGAATTATTTTCTCCTCACAGTTGTATTCAATACCGTGCCTGTTATCTAAACACAGTTATTTAAATAGCTAGTGTTATTTAATCTGCAGGGGACTGCAGTTCTTACTGAGATGCTTGTATCTTACTCCATATGGTACTAATGTATTTCTCTTTGTAGTTTACAGTCAGGAAGCTGGAAGATGTTTGATGGTGCCCCATACACCACACATGAGCTCAGGGTAACTTCAGTGAACATCTGTAAATAAGGTCACAAAGGCTGTATCACCCTTAAGAAAATGGGAATATTCTGAAATGCTTATGGAATGAATACCTTTCTCCCTTTCACCTTTCTCCCTTTGGGTGTGTACAAAAGCTCTTCGGATTATTCAAAATCTTTAGAAAATGATTGTCTTAGAGCACAATCCTACCTGGCCAAGTCAGTCAAAGGCCAGTTGATCTAACACAGGGGTAGGCAACCTTTCTCCTTTAAGGCCCGAGGGACTTCAGCTCCCAGAAGCCTCAGCCATGTTGGCCAATAGTCCCATGTTGGCCAATAGCTCCTGGGATTCTGGGAGCTGAAGTCCCTCAGCCCTTAAAGGGGAAAGGTTGCCTCCCCTGATCTAACACCATATCCAAACCTCTCCTAGGACGTTATCACATGTGGCCCAGAAAATGAAAATAAAGTGGAAATGAAGCATCCTGAAAATAAATGGGAAATAAACCTTGTTTCCGCAAACGTCATTACCTTAATTGCGAATTTACAGTAAATGCATTGAACGTCCACACACAAGAGAAAAAAAAAACCCGTAAATGTAGTAGAAATGAGCCTCTTGCACATGCACAGATAGAGGAATGCTCACTGGAACCATGGCAACAGCAGGGAAATGCTCCCCAATGCGCATTTGGCGATCACATTACGGTAAATGCGTAATTACCATAATTACGTATTTGCATTTCCTCCAGACAACTGAATTACAAAAGATTGTGGTTAACACCAGTTTCTGTCCACTTTCTGTCCAGTTTCTGTGCGACGTTGTGTGAAAACACAGGGCAGTAATCCAGTTTCGGTCTGGATTTTGTGTGGATTAACCAGCAGATTTGCCCCCATGTGATAACGCCCCTAGCTGGAGGTCATTACAAATAACTTAGTACTACTTTTAACTATTTTCAACTTCTATGTATGATTGTGAAAGTTGGAAGGTAAAAAAAGCTAACAGGGAGGGAATGAACTCATTGAAATGTAGTGCTGGAAAGCTCTGCCCCATTAAAACAAGCTAATTCCATAAAGGCCATAAAGGAATTACCTCTAAAATGAGAAAACAGGAGATGGATGAACAGTCACAGGAATTCCTCAATCTACGATTTTCTGGAGAGTTGATTGTGCATATTCTCACTTTTAAAATTATTTCCTTGTTTCTACCAATTGAAAAGTGTACCAATTTCTACTTTTCACAATACATTTTGTAAGTATTTATGCTAATTAATGGGCAGGGAAATTCAAATATATTTTATACAAAAAGAAAAGAAAGACATGTAGTGCTGGAGAAGAGTTCTACAGATACCACAGACTGTCAAGAAGATAAATAAATGACCAAGAAAACAAATCAAGCCTGAACACTCCCTGGAAGACAAAATGATCAAAGGCTATCATACTTTGGGCATATCATGAGATGACATGACTCATTATGAAAGGTGATAAAGCTTGGTAAAATGGGAGGCAGTAGGAAAAGAGGAAATCAAGGAAGCCAAGGTCCTGAGATGGCTGTTGAGGACAGGGTTTCTTGGAGATCTCTTATTCATAGGGTCACTATAAGTTGACACCAAGTTGATGGCTATTAACAACCTTCACTATGGCTTAACTTTAAGCTTGCATTCTGGCTCTGTCCCTGAGGAGACGCAGCTTTGGTTCTGGCCTCACTCAGCTCTTCCATAACTCCCAACCTTTATTCACCCCCTTTTGGGGGCTTTTTGCCAGCAAATATGAGCCAGCAGACTGCTGGTTCTGCTGTCAGTTTGCTCTTTCAGTCTCAGAGATCAATTAGCAAAAAGCTATTTACGACAGTCTAATCCTAACCTCTGTACAGTTGGTGCATCTTTTGAGTTATGGCTACACTGCTGATATATTAGAAGAGCATTAAAGTAGATGTTTCTGAAAGTTTAAAAGTACCAAGAAAAAACTGGGCATTGTTTGCCCATTTCCCATGACCTCAGGAGACAAAATATGGATAAATTGCCTGATCTAAAACCATGAACATCTGTGTTCTGTCATAGTCTGGCATTTAAGGATGGAAAATATGTCCAAAAGTTCAGGAAAATAAATGAAAGCAGAGAATCTTCCTGAAAGCCCTTTTGTGTTTTCCACCTCAAATCTTTGAATAGACCTGAGGACTACACTCCCTCCTACTTCACCATGTAGACTCACTCTCTTCCTGCCCATCCCCAACATGTCCACATACTAGCTGATGGAAGGGCAAGGGAGTTCCCTGGTGAGGAGGATAATATTTACTATGTTCTGATAGGTGGTGCAAGGTGCTGACATCCTACTCCTGGACTCCTGGACTTCTCCAGAGGAACTGGAGGATACCTACACTGTTGTGCATTGATAATCAGCTGGCAATAGGTGGTCCTCACTGCATGGCTAGCAGTGGGTGATCATCACTGCACAGATGGCAATGGGTGATCTTCATTGCATGGCTGGCAAAGGGGGGGGGGTCCTCATTGCATGGCTGGCAATGGGTGACCTTAATTGAACAGCTAGCAATGCATGGTCCTCATTGCATGGCTAGCAACAGGTGATCTTCATTGCACAGCTGGCAATGTGCAATCTTCATTACATATTTGGAAATATGTGATGTTCATTGCACAGCTGTCCCTCACTTGCCTGCAACTACAAGGCTATGGGAGGAGGATGGGTTGACAGGATGCTAGTGATGGCATTCAAAGCTCTAAACAGCTTGGGTCTTCGGTGATTGAAGGAGATTTGGTGTTTCACCAGTGAAAGAAATACATTTAGTGGTAATGCAGGACAGCATTTGCAGTGCTGTGGTATCTGGACTATGTTATTCCCTGCCATTTGATTTCTGTTGACATAAAAACTGGTTCCTTTTCTGTTGCCAAATTAAAATCTGGATCTTTATTAAAACTTGGGAGTGGTGGTGAAGAATCATGTTTATTTCTACTGTACATATTTAATTTACCTTCTTTAAAGTTATTTAAAATAATGTAATTTATTAATTTTTATAAACTTGTAATTTTTTTTTTAAAAAAAAGTAATATAGGGCCTTTGCAGACTGCTAGAAATAGTGAAAATTGAGTCCACTTTAACTGCCCTGGCTCAGTGCTAGGGAATCATGGGAATTGTATTTTTTTCTGAGACATTGAGCCTTCTCTGTCAGAGAGCTCTGGTGCCACAATAAACTACAGTTCCCATGATTCCCTAGCACTGAGCCAGGGCAGTTAAAGTGGACTCAATTTGCACTATTTCTGGCAGTCTGCAAAGGCCCATAGTTTTAGACAACTCAGCCTTGCTTGTTGATTGTATACTTTTGGGAGATTTTTTTGATATAAGGTAATGCTTTTTTTTAAAAAAAAATAAAGGCTGTTGTGAGGACAAAATGGGAAGAAGCTACTGTACAAGGTGCCTTGAGCTCACTGGAAGAAAGACAGCTTATAAATGCACTATCTGCCTACTACTTTCATACCTTTCTTCTGAATGAATGAATGTGTAGTAGTGTAGTGGTTTAAGCACTGGACTATGACTCTGGAGACCAGGGTTCAAATCCCTGCTCCGACATGGAAACCCACTGGATGTCCTTGGGTAGGTCACACCCTTTTAGCCTGAAAGGAAGGCAAAAGCAACTCCGCTCTGAACAAATCTTATCAAGAAAACCCTATGATAGGGTTGTCATGAGTTGAGAATGCCTTGAAGGCACATACAAAATATAATCCTTTATTAGACATCTGTGAAATAGAATTATCAGGTGATCAGGCCTGCCTGCTATTTCTTTCATGTGTTGGCAAGTGCTGGTGTAGACCTCATTTACTTGTAAAAGATGACTATGTCAATTCTTTTTTCTTTGTCCTCCTTGTATTTGATAACCATTCTAAATGTTCCTCCTTGAAGTTCCTGGACATACCTTCCCTGGAAAATCTTTGTGGGTTTGGTTGTATTCCTTCTAATGGTTGAAAAATACATGGGTCCTTGCTCTCTCTTTGGTAACATATATCAGTGAATCTTTATTTATTTATAAGAAGGAGCTGTGTGTGCCTGCTTGGATGTGTCTTATCTTTTTACCTTTGATCTTGCAAGAGAGAAAAGGCTTCAGCATGGCTAGAAGCATCCTTTTTTCAAAAAACAAAATGAAATAAAAATAAACAAATAATCCAGTGTGCTACTTCCTCCACATCTTGGGTGAATGCATTCTTACTGTTTTTCTCCTTCAGTCTGGCAGGGGAAAATTTTCTTTCCCCCCTCTTTTTCTCTCTTTCTCAAAACACAGAAGGAATAATACAACATCTGTCCTCCACAAAAGGGACTTACCAACCTAGAATTCTGAGGCTCATTCCCACTGTGATTTACATCGATTTGCTAATCACTTTAAATGTGCCTCATCCCCATTTGAAATGGTTTCAGATGTGA